TGTGAGCTAACAATTCAGCACATTTCATAAGGAACGGGTAGAAATGTTCCGGACTGGCCAGGTCCGGCCTAGAGCGGTCAGCCTTTTTCAATTATGGACCCAGCACTTCACTGGCTGTGCCACTGAGACCGCACGGTATAACTCGAAAGACGGAAAAATTCGCGCCGTACCATGCATGAAATTTGGACCTGGTGCCCGTGGGATTTTGATCTCTGCATACAAAAAGGCCGATGGAGTGGTGCAAGATAATGAAAAAATTGTTTTGGCGCCAGCGTTATCGAAATTAAGCACGACGTAAGTTCAATTACAGGCCTGTGCAAAGCCAACCGTAAAGAGGTGAACCCTGTGGGCCAGTAGAAAAAGTGCGCCGTGGAGCGGTTGTGCCGCGAATGTACTTAAGTGGAGGCTGCATATGGTAACCACGTTTTCTCCAGATGCTCACATATGCTTCAGAATGGCATGGCTATCCTACCAATGATATATCCGTCTCATCACGCTGGACCCCATTCTCAGTGCTCAAGAAGGCGTTCGATGGTTTCGACCACGAGAAGAAAGGCGCCATCAACACCGACATGGTGGGCACCATACTGCGGATGATGGGTCAAGCATACAACGCCCAGACACTCAAGGAACTCATCGAAGAGGTGGACGCCGACAGTAAGCCTTTCCATTTCCCCGTTCATCGTGGGCTATTGGTAACGACTTTTGTGAAGGATATTCTAAATATCACACAATATTTCCGAAGCCTGATTCCGATATGAGGATTCAGACAGATCTGGGTCGTAACTGTTTTACCTCGAATGAGAGCAAAAATTGTGTGCTGTCGCGGTTGGGTGAACGAAGCACGCAGAATTGTAGGGTGACTGGTGCAGCTATATTTGAGCCGTTAACTCAGTTGGTGTTAGGTGCTCAGAAAAAAAGCCCGACAGCTTCATGAAATACGCATACTAGGCTCCTGCGAAACACATAGAAAGGACGAAAAAATGTTGTCGTCGACATTATTTATCAAAGGCGAAAAAAACAGTAACGGTCGATAGATGATAAAGACGAAGGCCTTGATGATTGTGAGTAGACGGCGATGATGTTGAGTAGACGGTGATCTCACGCAGTTTCATATGACAAAGTTGTGAGTGCGTCTAAGGTGCGTCTGGTGTTCCCAGAGTCCGGCATGCTGGAGTTCGACGAGTTCGTCACGCTGGCGGCCAAGTTTATCATTGAGGACGACGCTGAAGCTATGGCGAAGGAGTTGAAGGAGGCGTTCCGTCTCTATGACAAAGCCGGTGAGTTTTGAACGGGATGGGGACGCCTCGGTTAGTTCCCAGATCGCCTCTTAACGCTTTCGTCTCCATCTGCCAACAATATCAGTCACAGCCGGCTTACAGGGCATCCTTTGCAGCCAGCACACGTCTCCACCATTATCGTCCAAGTCGCATAGTACACAGGATGCGTTAAGATCGCCGTTTGTACTAGTTGGAGCACTCGCAGATATGTAGGTTCATGTTTCGCCTTCATCTTGACAATCCACGCGGTTTCAACTCCTTAGTCATTATTTTCCAATTCCCGTCCGTCATCCCTGTCGTGGAGTAATTTCCTGATCAGGTTTACCTGCTGATATTCTACACTTACCTGTCTCTCACCAAGCTCAACTAAAATAACCCAACCGTCCACGTGCCGTTGCTGCAGGGAACGGTTACATCCCCACGTCATCTCTGAAAGAGATTCTGAAGGAGCTGGACGACACCCTGAACCCGGAGGACCTCGACAATATCATCGGCGAGATCGACACGGACAACTCGGGAACCGTTGACTTTGACGGTGCGTGGACCATCAGACCCAATGGCCCATGTTCTGCATCTGGTTCTGATAGTGTTGGCTGCAAGCTTTGCCTCAAAGCACAAAAACTGCTGGTTGCTCAAATTCAGATTTGTATATGAATTATGCAATGTTTTTTATAGCATTTCCAACAGCAACCAGTGCATGAACGCGTCGATACTCACGAGAGATCGTCGAAGTTCGATGCGCAGTGGCAGGCGGCGCCTGACGAACGCCTGGCCCCACAGAGTTCATGGAGATGATGACGGGCTGAGCAGGCGCCGGCGGTTGACGGACGCCTGGCCCCACAGAGTTCATGGAGATGATGACGGGCTGAGCAGGCGCCGAACACTCGGCGCAGTGCTGTCGGCCGTCACACACGCCCGCTGCAGCACCGCGGCGCCGCCGCGTCCGGCCGCACCGGCCGCTCCGGTCGCCGCCCACCCCCACGTGACGTCACGACCTGCGCTCAGCGGTGATGTTACAGGGGACCGCGCCGCCACCATCGCGGTGCAGATTTCCATTGGATCGATGGTACTAGTAGTGAGAATAAACTATTATTTTGGCTTCGGATTCCTCCTATTCGGCCTGACTTATTCAATACAAAAGTACAAGAGCACACCCTTGTTTCGGTCTGGGATGTCATTGAAAGGGATGGAGCGGTGCTTGCACAACATGCGAATAGTCGGGTGAAGAATATTCACATAACTCAGCAGGATAAAGTGAGCCTGCCCACGAAAAGGACGCCGTTAGATGGATGAACGGACACTCAGCGTGCGGAGCAGTGAAAATCGGTAAAGTACAGTGGTTAATGGTGACCAACTCATAACGCGTTTAAACGTCATAAGGCAGGAATTCATATTTTATATTTTATCTTGATGTATGTATGATGCTTTTATATGATGTGATATGTATGTGTATCTTTATTTTATATTTTATCTTTTATATTATCATTTTAAGGAAACGGACCGTATTTCACAACTCTACCTTCACCGCACACAGCCTGACTCAGCCCGTCTGATTCGGTCATCGGCGTAGCAATGCTTTATTTTTCACAAGTTCGAAGAAATAAAAAGACGAAGCTCGGCAAACCTACGACGCCAGCCAACCTTCGACCTAGTTGACCAGCTGCGCCTAGGACTGGACTGCCGAAGAACAGATTGGGCAAGCTGTACCGGAGGACTGGAGGAGATACTTTAGCTTTGTCCGCCCGTAATGCGTGATACATTTCGGCAAAAAGTGAAAGCGCGTTATTGTGTTATATTCTTACAGCGGTTTTCTTGTCGCACACAGATTTATTTATTTGACTGATCGAAAACATAACGCAGGCAGAGTGCTTACTATCCCCGAACTATTCATGTGTCGCAAATCAACATCGCTTTCACAAGGGAGGCCAAACATCACGACTATGGAGGGTTTCTAGGTGACAGGGAGGGGAAATTCCACGACTTAGGAGCGATTCTGGGTGACTGAGTAAGCCCTTGTCTCCACAGTTAAGATGTCAAAATATGACTTGGCGCATGATAACGCACTGATGCTCGACTGGCTTCGTCCCCGGCTGTACTGGGGGCCCGATGCCCGGGAAAGTTCAACTTCGGATTTAGGACTAAGTCGCTGCACTAAGGCACTAAGGAAATGAGTACAAAATTATTCACCACCAAAAGTGTCATAGACTCCAACGCAGCTGCAATGCGAGTTGAGTTAGTCTCGGAAGACTCGAAGGTGTCTACCAAAAGCCACGTTCGCGGCTGTGAGTCAAAGTTGAGCCGCCAGATGTCACTCACATGTGTACGCCTGATGGCATGCTGCACCGGAATGCTCCATGGTTGTGCGCTCGGTGATCTGCGGCCCGGCATCAGGTACGCAGCATATCGGACCTTTCCACTCAACCCGTGACTGTTAACTATGTGCGTGGAAGGAGCAGCAGCGTGTAGTTGTGCATGGATGCTGCCGTCCAACAAACAGGTGATTTTTCTCACAATGTCCGGATTCCATCAGTGACGGTACGTTGGTGCACATCATAATGAGGTCCTGAGTTTCCCGTTTCCCCATCGGTGATGCGAGTGATCAAGGGCACACTACAGCTACGCTACAGCGGATATGCATCTCATGTACCCGATACCTTAGTCATTTCCTTCCGGTCTAGCAATATATATGTCTGAATATAGTAAGAAGTTACACGAATTGTAGTCTGCTGGTATCTGTTGCGATGCAAATCCACTGGCCTCGCAAATACGATCATCATGCAGCTACGTACCTACGTTTTATAATCATGTGTTACGTTGTCTAAACGTGTCAGATAATGCAGGTTTTTTAATTTGATACTTCACATTTAGTTCCTGGCCAAGTAAACGTTTTTGCGAGATCCTGCGACGCAACTGAAATGAGATAAATCAAGCCAAAGTTGCCTTATTTAACATCACACGGACGAATCTTTCTGCGTTTACGATCGGAATTCCTTCGCTCAAACACAACTTCTTCCCGAACCGTGTAAAAAGTTGCAAAACACTTCATGTGGTAAAATGCTGCCGCAGTGCTGCACTTCCGTCCAGGGATGTGGTTCCTCAGAATAAATAGGACCTGCGTGCAGAAAAATGTATAAACGTACCACCAAATGCGTTAAAAACTTGTTTCTCCCCATGATCGAACCACCTTCCTGTCAAGGTGGGAGGGGGGGGGGAGCGTAAAAACTTTGCCCTAACTGAGTAGGAAACTATGCTCCTGATATAGTGATTGTGATAGCCATACGTATGTCTTGTGTTCCCAAGTCAACCATACACGCAGCGCAAGACACAAAATGGGATGCAGCCACAAGATTAAGATTGTCGTCTTCTCCCACTGAAAATGAAAATATCCGTGGTGAGAGGCATTACGATCATGCATGTATCCAAAGCTTCGTATGTCCAGTACCTGTTTGGTTATGTCGCCCAATAGCGGAGAATGTTGACACTTAAATTGAGAACGACGCAGACTGCTCGATTACTTTGTTCGTGGCCTTGTCTGAAGTACCCATGAACTTAAAACCCACGGAACCCCGGGAGCCCTTGTCCAGCCAAGGCCTTCCAGCGCCCAATGAATGCTATGGCCTCAGGATGAGGAGCGTTTATTAAACAAGATCGACATGGTAGCATCATTTAAGCGGTGCAATAATTAAGCCCGTCTGAAAGAAGGCAAATGCGATCCCTGGCTTAAAAATGATGAGTAGCATGCCATGTTGCATTCACACGAGCATCACCGGCACCGCACTGGTTATGAAAAGACAGCGACCATTAGGCTACTTGTACTTTGGTAATCGATGGAATAGATCTACGCATACTCCTTGAGCAAAACGGGATGACCGGCTCAAGCCGTATCATATTGCACTGAGGCCTCACTCGGGCCCGCTATCTCAGCGCAGAATCAGCAGCAGACATGGGCTGTTACCCTTCAATACCAAACCCCCGAATCCTCCAGGCTCCACAGCAGTCGCACAGCGCTGGTGAAAGGGTGCAAAGAACGCACCCAGGGTGTCACACAAGGTGCGCACAAGCGCTCATCGCTGTCACTCATCTTCCGTCTGCTTGGCCATCAGGTGTGGGAAACACTTTGGGATGAGGAAGTCTTCCAGTGACCTGTGGAGGTGGGAGCGGACGGAACGGAAGTAGACATCTTCGTCCGAATAAATCTGAAACAGATTGGCAAAAGTGTCATTGCGGCGTTATAGATTTGTATTGGACTTCTTTCTTTGGGGTTGGGAAAACGGCATAATATGAAGCGTTCAGATAGCGTATGATAATAAACTTTCCGAACGAGCCGCGCCCATGGACCACAAGATGCAAGATGTGTGACACATCACACAACAATGACAAGTCAACCCATACCTGCTGATAAAATAGGACGCCTCTCTCCACGAGCTTCTTGGAGAGTAGATCCCCATGCAGAAAGAGCGGATCTCCGGTTCCGTAAACCAGATACAGGGAATGGTCATCGATCCGCTCGATCGCATCCAGAATGTTGGTTGTGTCCACGTATCTCTCCGCATGGTAAGCATCTGTAACAGTTATGCGCATCATTGCCGACGTTTGCACGTATGCACATCAGCTGCATTCACAAACTGCACAACAAATCCATTCAAGCATTAACAAGGGGCAGTTCAAAAGTGTGTTTGTGTACGGATGATGCGACCCGTTTGATGTTGCATACTGCTTTTCTGGCGTTTAAAGGGAGTATCCCACCTTAAGGGTAATTTCAAAAATATGCTCCAATGCATCCTTAGGACCAGTCACATCTAATAATATCACGAGGCAGTGTCACTGGAGCACTGTTAAGACATAATGAAGATAACAATTTTAATTATTTTCGAGCCTAAATTACGCTGTCAACGCTTTGCAACAGCACTACCATTCTTCCCTGCAGTCGCGAACATCGTCGTCATGACAACAACCGTGCGCACCTCTACTTGTGCGAATAAAAGAACAATTGTGATTGGCCTAATGGGCAAGGGCCTACTACAGATAAGCTGATTGGTTGAAGTTTGAACTAGTGTGCCGCATGGATGATGTGATAATTCAATTCCTAAAGCCGAAGTTCGCCTCAGACAGCCACTGTGATAAACGCCATGGGGGAGAAATCAAAGCCATAGTTTGACGTTTCCTTGAATTTGCGGGATTATATCTTCGTGATCGCGTATCTTTTTGTCTGAACAGAGCATTTTAAAATTTGTGGCATTTATTACACAAACATTTTGACACATAAGTGTGCTGCAAACATTATAGAACACACACGTTGGAAAGGGCAAGGTAAGGGCATGTAATAATTGCATAGTGGTGAGCAGGGAGCCAATGAGATTTTTCCCGCAGGATCGGCTACTTCAAATAAAAATTCTGGGTTTTTTCAGGATTGCGAGAAAACCGGTATTACGGATCAAGTCGTATGCGCCAGATGTCACAATAAGTGAAAAGTACCAGAAGGTGGGATACTCCCTTTAAGACGTACCGTAAAGGTCCAGTTCGACGACAGGCCACAGGACGGCGCCACAGTGTACCAGAGCGTTGTCAGCCAGGGCGGTCAGCGCTGAGTGGCCGCCGAAACCCTCCCCTATCACCGCTATTCTCTCCATGTTCAGGTACTGATACTTCTGAGATAGGTGGCTGGGAACGAGAACACGTCTCGCGTTTAGTTATTGGCTTCGACATAGCTGGTTTAATTGGAAAGGCGCCGGTGCACACTGTATAGCGAGCCGACAGCTTCAGGCTGTAAGGTTATTTTCTATACCGTTACCCAAGAACGAGGAACCATGAGCTGGGGACTGCGGGCAGCAACTTTGGCATTTGTACGTACAGCAACAAATCTACAACTGAGGCATTGGTGCGATCCAGTTCTACAGTAGTGGAGGATCAGATTATTGTGTGTGTGCAAAGGCATGCATGTAGTTGGTCAAACGTAAAGGTTGGTTGATATTGCGTTCCAAATGGCAAGTTCATTCCAGGAAAAAGTGTAGTAAATATGCTCTGAAATGATGCTGAGAAAAGCGACGACTTTCAAGGCAGCTTACTTCTAAAGCACCCGGGCTCTTATTTCTGGATCATATCCGGCGTGAGACTTTTTGGCATCATGTATCACTATCACGAGCACATTTTAACGACGCGGGGTCGTTTTTTAAATAGGTCACTGCATGCAAAACCATCGTGTTACCCGATGAGGAGGGGGACAAACGGAAGCAAAAAAAAAACGGATAGTTTGGGAACAACAGTGAACTTTTGCTCAGAACAGAAACCTAGGTTCAAGGCGGTTGCCTGAAGAGGTCTGAGGTTACTTAGGACACCAATGTGGTGTTTGACTTTGTTTACGTTAGTTGACCCGCAAGTCATGACATGAGAGCCTCAAAGTTTGATACAAGTGGGCTCACATGCAAGCCAACCTAGCATGTGAACATGGTGTCTCTATCTCTCTTAGTTAATGATATCTTAGTTGAGCTAAATTACCCCTTCCCCACCATGGCGAAGGGTATTCAACCGGCCACCCGGGCGTGTATTAACTCAATATTGATCACATACTTTCTTCCCATATTTGATTATTGTGGCGTTAACTTGGACCGGCATATAACAATGAGAGATTTTTAAAAGCTTCCGAAAACTCAAAACAAGGATGGTGTTGGCGTTGTGTTTTCGACACAGCTATGCAATAGGATATGTTGGAATTCGGACATACCTTGACTGGTTGATTGACTGGGTGAGTGAGTGGTTGGCTACTTCTAGCATCAATGCTCTGATCGTTAATAGCGTAAATAACAACCTTTGCAGACACACATTGTCCTCCGACCATGTCATCCACGCATATGGTGAGATCAGCACGAACCTGAGGATACCTGACGTTCTCTTCTGGTTGCCGAAGAAGCTTCTGTGGCTCAGCTGGGCCGTGGCTCGCGCTCGGACGAATACCAGGTCCCACTTGCTCACCATAAACGTTGCGAACTCGACGCTCCAGTCCAGCTCCAGGACGTCATCCTCGCTGCAACGCACCAAACGTTCATGCTTCGCGAACGGACGGCAATGCAGTGTGTCGTAGGTCTGCGATCTGGGTGTCTTCATGCATTGTCATCGACACACCTGGCAGATGGTAAACCGGCACTGAACAAGGAAAGGAGGATTAGGGGACGGAAGGGGGATTGGGGTAGAGGAAGACATAACGTACAAGGAAGTGGAAGATTGAGGTGAATAATAGCGAACAAGTGATTCAAGAACATTTAACCAGCTGACGCTTCCCCACTTACATGTCAAGCACAAACGGATACAAGTAGGTGCCTCCCTTCTTCTCTTCCCACAGTGCCGGCAGGATGAGCTCGAGGCGCACGTACTCGCCGCCCAGGGACACCGTCTCGCTGAAGACGTGCGGCACGGCCATGCGCTCGGCCAGGGCCCGGCTGCTGTCCAGCTCGGCCAGGCGGCGCGTCACGGCTCGATCCAGCACGTGGAGACTCCGGACCGGCCCGTGCGCGCACTCCAGCGCCAGGGCGTCGCTGTTCGGGCCGAAGATGGGCGTCAGGCGGCTGCAGGGCCGGCCCAGCAGCGTCGAGACTCCGCAGGTGAGGCAGGCGGCGCCCGCCCGCTGGCCGGCCGCGGAGTCCGGCCGCCAGTACAGGTGCGTCTCCGACGGCCGCGTGTCCTCCACGCCCGTGTAGTAACTGTTGGCGTACAGGGGTGAGTGGGACGGGGTTAGAGAATGCAGACGGATCGATAAGCGGGCAAAAATTGGTGTGTCAAGCGGTGATTTAGGTTTTGTAGCGAAATCCTGTACTACAACTCTGCTGTTGGCTATCTGGAAGCGAGCGCTGACTAAAAAGTTCACAGATGTTAAGTTAACAGGCTGTTCTAACTAGACAGCTTCGTATTGAACTGAACTGTGGATACAGTAGCATTGGCAAGGTGCATCAACAATAATTTAAATACAATGGCTCGCTGACCTATGTCACAAAATGTTTGGCAGCAAAGCAGCGTGCTGTTTTCACCGTACAGTCCCTTTATATCAAAACACATCTAGCGCCCAGGCACTGTTCCAACCAAAACACATTATCGGTATCTCGTTTGGCACAACAACTTCCGGAGGCCTGGTGTATCTTTACACGCAAATTTGCTCTGAACAGCCGAATAGTAATGATCATAAGTGGTACAAAAAACTGGGCTTTCGTTGGACGCACTGACATGCCGTGCTCTTGCCGGTCCCAGAACTGCAGTGTCACGATCCGGTGTCCGCTAGCCTTGCTTCTGATCTTGACGCCTTCCTGCACCATCACCTCCACCATCTCTTCCCCGTGCTCTTCCGTGTCGTCCGTCTTAACCACGAAATCAGAGTAGCCGGTGGCGAACACAGGCTGTAGTTCGCTCACCCACCGCCAGTTGGCAGCGGCGTACACCTGGGATCACAAATTAGACCCAATTTTGCTGCCATTGTTTCCTGGGTATATTAGCAATTACAACAAACACTGGTACAATGTATAAAACTACACCTGACCCGCTTTGGCGGCCCTTTTTACGATTAGGTAATCGTACCTCCGTACGATTTTCTAGCTGGCAAAAGCGTAAGGGAGTCCAGTGTGCTTTGACGCGTCTTCCGGTATCAATCATCGTTCACCTGGCATGCATTTATCCCAATCGATAATGACTGAGATCCTCTAGCACCTCTGTCGCTTTGTGGGAGAGGCACTTAGATTGCAAACGTCTATGACCTTGCATTTTTTAGGTGAGAGCTAGAGAACGCTCGATGACAGTGGGAATTGTACTAAATTTGTGCATTTTAGCACGTCAGGTTAATGAAAAGGCAAAGCTCTTGGTGGATTCAACTATCAGGGTGCAATTCAATCCAATTTTAAGAGCAATACAACATCAATCCATGTTTTGGAAACAGAAGCAATTGATTCAAATCGGTTCATCACGGCAAAACAACATTCCAGAATATACGCCATCGCATCTGAGCCCACCTTGACACGCCACCTAACATGTGACGCCCTTCAGTTGATATTTAACTCGTCAGTCTCTTGCAAACTAGTTTTCATAGACAATGCTGGAATCAAAATGAATCACAGTGCGCGTTGCGCCATGAAGCATAACTTTTCCGAATTGGTGCAGTCTGTGTCATTAATGCAACCTGTGTTAATGCAACCTGTCTGTGTCATTAATGCATCAATTAATCACAGGTGTAGGAACGGTTTAAAAGAGTGGGGAAAACGCAAAATCATGGTATAATCTTACTGGGCCGCATGCTCAGTGACCGCGGGGGGAGTAATGGATGACATTATTGGCTCTTAATTCAGGTAGCACATTTTGGAAATAATTAAATGGCATGGTTGTTATGCTAAATATTCACCTATAGGTGTGTCCCACTGGGACATAATCTTGCCTATTCGACTCACCTATGCCATTTGGCAGGTAAGACTATCCAGCTTCCTTGGACCATTCGCTCATTCCAAAATTGTTTGCCCTGGGAAGGCGAAATTGCACGAGCGAGGAGGTACTTTGGGTCTGGATTGGAGTGGCACCTGCCTAATTAGGGCAGGTGCCAAAATACGACTTGGGCAGCAGGCTGGTCAGAATTTTGAATGTAAATCAATAGCCAATGTCGTGCCAGAGTTTTTGTGTGCCTTGATTTCGCCGGCTGCTTTTCAAGAGATAAAAATGTGGCAACATTTTAGGCGAAACAAATTCGGAATCTTCAAATCCTAAGTGCCAAAATCAATGAGACGGAAAAGAAAACATTAAACCGAAGTTTCTCCTGACAATGTCAAGTTACAGAATAAAGGTTCATCTTTCAGATGCTCCTTATCTGAGCCCTACCCCAGTCCTGCGTCTGCGGCCATTGCCTTGACCCAGCCGTCCCCGCATAACTGACTGTGAACTGATCATATAACTGCTCTTCTGCATGTTTATTGATCAGCATCCCTACTTGTAGGTGTGTAAACAGCCATCGCATACACAAGAGTATTGATGTAACCATCACTACTTATTTGTGTGTGGGTGGGCACCTGCTACAGTATCTATTTCCAAATTATATTCCTGCACACCACACTACGGCAGAAAAAAACCGGGCTGCTAGCTGCTTCAGGCATGACTTGGCCTATCGGGCATTCATTTGCCCATCATCCAATGTAGCCTACTTGGTCTGCTTTTGTATGCAGGCGGTGGCTTAGCCAGAGCCTTACCAAGGGAGGGAGCAGAGGGTTGAAAAAGCCCCCTGAACCCAAAGAAGCTCGCCGGATATAGCTCACTTGTTAACAAGCCTTGCTAAGGGAGGCAGAGGGATTGAAAAGGCCCCTGATGGCTAAAGGTCCTCCAAAAAGATTGCGGGATGTAGATCACTTGTTCATCATTTTTGGTTGTGGTTTTGAGTTAATAAACTGCAAGAATGAGACGATGAACATTGGAATAAAACACTGGCGCGCCCCACTTCACAGTGGTTCAGAAGGCTCTTTCAAAACCAATAGCACTCAGAGGCGTGGTCAGACTTGCCTATGTTCTTCACAGATATTGAGGACCCCCTGAACATAGATTGTAGGTCGAAGTGGTGTCCAAAATGTGTATTGACATGGCTAACCCATGTTTGTCTTGAAATGTGACAACATTCAAGTGAGAATCGATTACTGGGAGAAGTTACGTTACGCGGCTTTGAACACCCGCGCTAGCAAATCATATAACAACCTTGACGCCCCGCGTTGCAGTCTCCATAGGCCGCGCAGCGTCGGCATAGTAGCTGACTAAGCGGTGGCCAACGGTGGTGGAACTGGTGGTAGAGCAATTTCCTGACAAGGGACCCGTGAGTAGAACATCAGGGGGTACATCATCCTTGACGGTCCAGGGCTGAAAGACCATTCTATGCCAGTGCGGGGCGCATTCCGTCTGAAAGATGCTGTCATTTATCACACGAAGCAACTGTTTTTAGTGCGGTTTGAGGAAGATGGCTGGTGAACTAAGTAAATCGGCACGCATGTTCAAGGCAGAACAAAAGTAAGCTAAACGCAACATAATCTGAATAAGTGGGGAGGCAATATTACTGCTCCGCCGTCCACCTTGAAAGGGAGGGGCTGGCCCCCTTGCCCCTTTGTTCTTACACCCACGTCCTGAATTAAGGCACATATTTATCCATTCCATTTGAAACCTCTACAAGGTGAGCAGCTCAGCATGGCGGGTACCCTCTGTGCAGATCTTCATGTTATCTAGGCAACAAAATTGCTTTGATTTAACATCGTTTCCAACCATTTCTGTAAGCAGGCGACAGATGTCAGCCCCAGAAAGTACCAGTCTTTCAGTGACGGCCCATTTTGGAACTGGGAGTGAGTGAGGAATGGCTCCCAACGCCCGCTGCCGGTCATGGCTCGGTGGCAACCGGGAGTTTTTAAGCCTCACCAGATCAGCCTTACCTCACTGCAGTGCCAGGCGGGCGCGGTGCAGAGGCTGACCTGGGCCGAGGTCAGGGCACGGCTCATCGACGTCACCGCCACCGTCGCCTCGTCCACCCACTGCACCCCCGTCAGGTACGAGCTGCCGGAAAACCCAAGGGACGCTGAGGTGTGAACTCTATCAAGCAAGGATGCGACTCAGGTACGGGCTGCCGACAAGCAGAGGATGATCAGACGCGGCCTGAGCAAGCCTAGGTCGAGCACGAACATCAGCTGTTGAAGTGAGTCCCCTGGCACACATCACCGGACACAGGCTACGGCCAGACACACCTCGCCGGACACAGGCTACGGCCAGACACACCTCGCCGGACACAGGCTACGGCCAGACACACCTCGCCGGACACAGGCTACCGCCAGACACACATCACCGGACACAGGCTGTCGCCAGACACATCATCACGGACACAGGCTGCTACCAGACACACATCACTGGACAAAGGCTGCGCCAGACAACGGTGCAGTGAGCGGTCGGTGCGTGGACGGACG